AGGGGCGGGAGAGGGAGGCGGCGTCGGAAAAGCTCAAAGTTGCCTGCACCACAGGGCTGGAACCCTCCCAGGGCAGAGCCGGCTGTTTCCCCCGGAAACTCAGGGACCCCGCACGCCCGCCCGCCCTGCTTCCTGCCGGCCTCTCCCAACCTAGCAAGAGCAAGACAGGATGCCGGGGGCCCCAGGTGTGCCGGGAGGGAGGGAGCGCGGGCCCGAGTCTGGGGGCTGCAAGGGGCAGGACTGCTGGGCCGGGTTGGGGGCGTCGATGGTTCCAGGAACTGGATACCTCGAATTTTCCAGGGCTCAGGGTAGGGGAGCCTGCGTGAGCACCCCTCCCCACTCAGCCACCACCCCCACCCCAGCTTCCTTCCTGGATCTATTGTTGTCGTAGCCACCTGGCTCGAGGCCCAGTATTGGTGCAGAGCAAGCTGGAAGGAGGGGTGCGCTGGGTCTCAGAGCTGGAGGTAGGGAGGTTGCCCCTCACTCCACACTCCGAAAGGACCCAGGTGTCCTGGCCCGGCTTGGTTGGGGGCAGGAAATGAAACCTGGTAGAACAGAAAGTGAAACCGCCCAGGTGGGGCATCGGGAAGACGGGCAGAGGCCCGAAAGCACCTGGACCAGGAGGGCAGAAAAATAAAAATGGGCTGAAGTCTGAGGCGGGCTGCCTGGGGATTTCAGTTGTTGCACAAACAATTTCACCCAGGGGAGGATGAGCCCTCGCCCAGCCTGGCTTCTACAGAGAGGCTGAGTAGGGGTGGGAGCCCCGCCTGACAGATTTGGGGGCTTGGTGAGCCAAGCTCTTTCTCTCCAAGAAAGTCAGGAAAGGCTTGGCTTTAGACACTTGAAAGGTCTTGCTCTAAACTTGTTTGTCCTCCTTAAAATGGGGGAGTTGGACCAGCTTCCAACAACTCTCTGAAGCCCACAAGATTTGTTTCCTGGGGTCTGAGAAAATTCTGGGATTTGGCTATTTTGAGGTTCCAACATGCTCATATAAAATTCCTCTAGATCCCAACATATTATCGTTATACCTTTTAGGATTTCAAAGACCCAGATAAGGAGTAATCTCATTTTTATGTTCTAGAACTCCGACAAATTACACTTCTACTGTTTGAGAATCTTAGCGTTAACGGAGTTCAACCCAGCATCCCAAAATTCTAACACTTTAACCCTCTAGGATTCCTACAGCCTAGGAATCTAAACTTCCAACATTTTAATGTTTTAGTATCTCAACGAGTTAGCATTTGAACACTTCTGTGTCAGAGGAATTCAATTAGCTACGATGCATACTTCAGCTCCTTAGGATGCAACAACTCTAACATTTTTCAGCCGGTACTCAAACAACACAGAAGTTCACAATGCTTAGGGTCAAGCATCTGCCCAGTTGCCACTCACCCTGATCCTAGAGGCCCCCACCCTGGCCACGAGGGGGGGCTGCAATTAGGAGGGGGGATAGAGTCATCCGGGCCTCTAGGGGTAAATACAGGGGTGGAGGAGGGCAGGGATTGGGGTGTGAGACTTCACTTGCCCTGGCTGCTTGTGCACAAGCCCACACCCACACGTGTCACCCGATCACCACGGCCAGTCCGGCTTCAATTTCTACTGTTTCCACCAAATGGGAGGCCCGGGACGGGCCGGAAGGGAGATCCCCCTTATCTGCTGCCCCTACCTGGCCCTTCCTCCCCACTCTGCGCCTAGCAGGCACCTCCCTTCTTCCCTGCTGGCTGCAGAAACCAACGACATGCAAGGACATGTAGTTTGGGGAGGCCTCTGCAGCACCCCACCCCTGCTGGGGCCTCCCTCAAATGGGTGGTGGAGTAAGGAGAAATTGGGGGCCAATGCCTCCAAGTTGCCCAGGTGCCCTCCCTCCCCTTTCCTCCCCTCCCGCAAGTCAGGCCGCAGGCTGCCTCTGTCAGACGCCCCTCCTGCGACCCGTCCCCGAGTCGGATGGGGAGCCCAAGGCGCTCACCTTCTGGTCCACGATGGAGCAAGCCAGCTGCTTCACATGGGCCAACTCAGAGGCGGCGGGCAACAGCACGAACTCGCGGGTCAGGCCGATCTGGATGTGGAAGGAGACCCCGGGAGCCGGGGCCTGGGGCATCAGTGGCTGCAGCGGCGAATGTAGCTCCAAGCCGCCGGCGGGGAGAGGAGACCCGGGCCGGGAGGAGCCGGGGAGCCCGGCGGGATGGGAGGGGGCGGCAGCCATGGGGGCAGGCCTGGACCCGCCGCCCGCCGCCCAAATCCGGCTGCGGGAACCCTGGGAACTCGAGTCCTTCAGCCGAGGGAGCCGGTGGGGTGGTGTTAGGAGCGCAGGGGTCCGAGGAGAGGGAAGCCGGCAGGTTGAGGGACCGAGGATGGCAGGATCCTGAGAAACGAGAGAAAAGGACTCTAATGGATCACACGCTCGGAATCAAAGGATCACAGATCAGAAAGGAGAAAGTAATGGTTTGGAAACCCAGCAACTGCGAGAGTCCAAGAAATCAGAAAATCTAGCCGGTCAGGATAAAAGGGATCAAGAGACCCCGCGACCCAAAGGCCCCCCTGGAAGAGAAGGGGTTGAGAGAGGAGCGGCGGGGACCCCAGAATCCAGTGGCTCTAGGATCAAGATTTCACAAAGAAGGGGGCCCGAGGAATTTGCCACGTCTGGGGCGGTGGGCTGGAGTCTCTGAGTTGGGGATCAAGTGGATCCCAAGGATCCTCCCGGCTCAAGGATGGGCAAAGAGGTCCCCCGGGGCAAGGTAGAAAGGAAGGAATCTCACGGGTCGCGGAAGTTGGAGAAAAGTTTGGTCGTAGGCCGCGAGGCAGGGGCGTTACCGGAGGCGGGGGGAAAAGGGGCAAAGGGTGGTCGAACAGCTTGGGTGGCTCTTTTATCCCCCTTCAAAGTTTAAGTCCGCGGCGGCGGCCCAGGAGGAAGTGTCCGGAGCGACTGCGCAGTCGGCCAATCGGCGCGGGCCCGGGTGACGTCTGAGGGGCGGTGCCTGCCAAGGGGCCGGGGGCGGAAGGAGAGGGCGGGCCCTGCGCCTCGGAGTTGGGGGCGGGACCTCCCCCAATCGGATGGAGGGCCCCAAGGTGGCAGATTGGTGTCAGGCTGGTTGGTTGATTCCTCCGTAGACTGGGAAGTTAGCATTTTTCCCTGAGCTGACAGCAAGGGCTGAGCCGACCTCGCCCACCACAGGGCGCGGGGATGGAGCTAGCAGACACTTGGTCCTCCACGGAGGGGCCGTCTCGGCTGGCCAGCATCCGGCGCCCACCGCAGGCGAGAGGGTTGGAAGTAAGGTGTCAGGTCCGGCCCGCTTTCCGGGCTCTCCGTCCCTGAGCGCCACGCGCCAGCATCGGGGAGGGAGTGCTGCCGCGAGCACCCACCCATTCCACAGATAGGAAGGGGAAGGCGCCACCTCGCCTCAGGTCTGTCCCCGGCGCCCGGGCCAGGTGCATGGAGCCGGCTGGAGGGCAGGTTAGGGGGATGTGATTTCCTTCCACCGGCCCAAGGGTCTCGGAGTGCGGTGGGGTGGGGACGACAGGGCGCTAAAAGGCCGCACAGCAACATCCCTTCACAGGGAGAGAACTGACACTCTCCTGGGGCCAAATGCCTGCATCTGTGTGGCTTTAGCTGAGCCATTTCCCTCCTGTGAGCCTCAGTCTCCCCGCTGTTAGATGGCATTGAATACGACGGTGCAGGGGTGTGTGGGACAGATGACTGGGTATGGGGGCACCTGCAACACGGCACAAGTTCAGTAAGTGGCTGTCTCTTCATTTGGAGAGAAGAGGTTTAGGTGGGTTTGTTCATCAGTCTGTCACCCAGCAAGCATCTGTTGAGGACCTGCATGCCGGGCAGGCTTTGTCTAGAACATGTGCCACCCTCAAGGGAGCCAACTTGAGTTCTCCCCAGCTAGCGCTCCTGTTTCACTTACACACAGGGAGCCCAAGCTTCGCAGAGCGGTGACTTGCCGAGGATCAGCCCCGCCCCGCCAGGCCAAGGCCTAGATTTGCGCTCCAAAGGCATCCTGGCAGAGCAGGCCAACTGCCTCGCTTGGTTGGGGTGGGGGCTGCAGTAGGAACCCACACACACACACCATGTAGGGCCACTGAGGTCGGTACAGTGTCGATTCTGTCACCACATCCGGGGGCTGGGGTGGGGAAGGAAGTCTGAGGCTGGAGCGAAAACCCAAACCACCATCTGGGAAAGCTGCACAGCTGAAGTATGAGGGGAGCAAGGCCACGTGGGGCCCACGGCCGGGCTCCAGGCCATCACCTTCCCACCTGCACCTTTGTCCAGATGGGCCAGTGAACACCACAGTGAGTGCCAACCCCACGGGCCTCCAGCCCCTCAAAGGTTCTACCAGGAAGGCGAATGTGGGCATCACCACCATATCTCGGAGGGGCTGGGAGAAGGTGGAGGCCTCAGAGCAGGCTGAGGAAGGGACAGGAACCACTTTCTGACCCTGCGGATCCGGGCAGCCCCTCCTGCTCTGCATCTGCTGAGGCTGTGGGCACTTTGAGCCAGATACCCAGCTGAGCTCAGCTCGGCTTCTCAGAAGCACAGAGTATACACTACAAAAAGGGAAGGGAGGGTCTCCGCACCCCCTCAGGGCCTGAGGCATCCGAGTCCTCAGGGACCCTCCTGAAGGGCTGGCAGGCTGCTTTCCCTTCCTGCCCTGAGGGCCAGGGTGTAGGGTGCAACCAGGAAGGGCAAGGGCTCAGTTCTCAGCACCAGCCAGCACCATACACCCAAGCAGGTCCTCAGCTGAACTGTCCCATCACGGCAGCCGCTTGCCAGACCTGCCCCTGGGGACAGTGCACTTAGGGACAGAAAGGAGGGGCACAGGAGATTCGGCCTTATGCCCCGCTTCCGCCTCTTCACTCACACCCTCCCAAACTCTGGGCCCCTCTCTGCGCCACCCCAACCCCAAGCCTTTCATATCCCTTCTCAGACTCAACCCGACTTAGAGGCGGTGACTCCTCCCAAAAAGTCCCCATCCCCTCAACAGATGGCACGGGCACCATCTTACTCCAAAGGGTTTATTGAGACAAGTTTTCACGTACAAGTTCAGGGCAGAGGGTGGCTTATAAACAGGAAGCTGAAGGAGGGATCAAGCGCTTGGGCGCAGGGTAGAACCCAAATAAAGAGTGAAATAAATAGAGGCAAAATGTGGAGCTAGGAGGAGACGGACAAAGACTATCACACAGTGATAACGGGGGGGGGCATTAAAATCCCGTCCATTTACACAGATATACAGGGAGCTACGCGGGGTCTCCACTTCACCCCTGTGCCTCAGGGAAGGGCACCCTGCGAGTGTGGGGGCACACTCCTGGCCCTGGAGGTTAGTGTCTGGAAGCAGTCGAGGGGCTAAGGGGTGGGCCAGGAGGGCTCCCACTGCCACAGGGATCCCCATGGAGGAGGGGTGTCAGGAAACCCCTCCCAGCACAGCTCCCACAGGCCAGGGGTGGGGGTCAAGGGGGAAAACCTGGCACCTTCTGGCATCTTGGAAAAACTGATCCCCGAAGACTCCGGCCCTGGCTGAGCTGCACATGAGAGGGCAGCTGGTGTCTGAGACCCCGGTAGTGACTCCTGCAGGGCTGTCCCCGGGCCAGTGTGTGGGGACAAGAGCTGCGCAAGACCATTCCCAGGACCAGGCCCTTAGTTAGCACCACCAGGCTCCACAGCAGGTGGAGAGAGGCTGCCTCGAGCCTCCAAGTGAGGCTGCAGCCACCTGTGGGGGGCAGAGCAGACTGGACTACCACCCTGGGGCATCTCCTCAGGTTCAGCCTCCTTTCTGTGGCCCGGGGCAACCCTGGCCATCCTCACAGGACTGTGGGGCTTAGCACGCCCAAGTACCAGGCAGAGGGCCAGTGCAGGCTTTCACCTCAGCCCCGCCCCCCAGCCCTGCTCCTCAGCCAGTGTGGTGGCCAGAGCCGGGCCAGGTGGGCATCATACGAAGACCTTGGCCAGGGCGTCAGCGCCAGCACTGGCGATAAGGGCCTTGCTGGGGTGGCAGGCAACAGCGTGGATGGCCTCCTCATGCTTCTTGCGGTGGGCTGTGATCTCCTGCACACAGGTCTTGTTGTCCAGGCTCCACAGGCGCAGGGAGCAGTCATGGCCTGGGGGACAGGGACCTGTCACTGAGGTCCTCACTCATACCCCCCCTCTTTGTTTTGTCTTATCTTTTTGAGACAGGGTCTCGCTATGCAGTTCAGGCTGGCCTTGAGCTCACTTTGTAGTCCAGGCTGGTCTCAAACTTGCAACGATCCTCCTGCCTCAGCCTCCTGAGTGCTGGGATTACAGACCTGGGGGCCACGGGAGCCAGTCCCATCCCCGGGCAATACTACTGCTTCTGCAGGGCAGTAAATGGGAAAATGCCCTGTACACTTGCCCAAGTGTCTGCAACTTGATTCTTTTTTTTTTTTCCGGTACCAGGAACCAAACTCACGACCTCACGCTTGCCAGGCAGGCGCTGTGCCGCTGAGCTAAATCCCCAGCCCTAATTCTTAGTCTCCCCTGGAGCCCCAAGTGAGGGAGGGGTTCAAAAGCTGGGTATGAGGGCTGGGCGTCGTGGCTCACGCTGTGGTGAGTCACCCGAACCAGCCCCTCACCATCACTGCCCATGATGACAGGGGCATCCGCTTCCTGGACAATCGGACAGGTGAGGCCCCAGCCTCAACCTCCTGAGTGCTGGGATTACAAGCGTGAGCCACGACGCCCAGCCCTCATACCCAGCTTTTGAACCCCTCCCTCACTTGGCCTCCTCCAGAGACATGCGCGTGCCTCCAGCAGGTTCTGAGCACAGAGCTGCGTTGTAACCACTGTTGTGACCACCACTGCTCCTGCCCCTGCTCAGCCCCAGCCCCAAGGAGCTCCTACAGCGCGTGCCCACGCCTTTAGCCCAGCTCTCCTCTCTGTCCCTTTCTTCTCACTCTGGGGAGAAGGGACCACCAAGAGAGACCAACTTACTTCCTGACATTAGGAACACGCCATTGGGGTCCACGGCTAGGCAGGTGACCGCATCCAAGTGGGCAACCATGGAGTGCACCAATTTACCTAAAGGAGAGAGGGTGGTGGCAGGTCCCCTTCCCACTCTGGGCCTTGCCTGGAAAGCAACGGGGCTGGAAGAAGCTCTGAGAACATCTGTGGATACCAGGTTCCTCCTGCCCCCAGCACAGCCAGGGCTGGGGCCTCACCTGTCCGATTGTCCAGGAAGCGGATGCCCCTGTCATCATGGGCAGTGATGGTGAGGGGCTGGTTCGGGTGACTCACCACCTGGTTGATCTGGCTCGGGCCTAGGAGGTAAAGGGGGCAGAGGGAAGGTCACTAGGAGACATCAGGGAGACCGAGACAGAGCCAAGACTGGGGCACCAATGCCCTACCCCCGCACCTTTGCCTGGGGGCCACGGGAGCCAGTCCCATCCCCGGGCAATACTACTGCTTCTGCAGGGCAGTAAATGGGAAAATGCCCTATACACTTGCCCAAGTGTCCGTGACTTGATTCTTTTTTTTTTTTTTTCCGGTACCAGAAATCGAACTCACGACATCACGCTTGCCCGGCAGGCGCTGTGCCGCTGAGCTAAATCCCCAGCCCTAATTCTTAGTCTCCCCTTGGTCTCCTGTGTTTCAGGGCCACCCGAGCCCCCACTGAATTTAATTTTCTTCCTACTTGGGTCCAGAAAGGCCCAAGAGTCATTCTGATCTGACAGTCTCAAAAGCTATGGGAGGAAAGGAAATCCTTGTAGGCATTCAGGCCCCAGTCCCACTGGCCTGCCTAGCCCTCCCTTACCGCTGCTCCCCCGGGACTCCAGCATGAGGAGGGTGCTGCCAGCCTCTAGGTCATACAGGATGGTGTCGCCAGAACGGAAGGAGGCCACGACGTGGGCAGGCTCGGTGCTGGTGAAGGCCACTGAAGTGGGGACCCCGTGCTCTGAGGACAGAGGGGAGGAGGCTGTCCCATGGCCTGGCCCCACACTGGAGCTGGGGCCTCTGCAGCACCCACTCGTCCTCCCAAGCCTCTGGCTGCCCCTCGCTTGTGAGGAGCTTGGCCCTGCTCACCGCTGGCTGTGGGGAAGGTACAGAGGCAGGCTGGGCTGCTGCTAGGGTCCCAGATGCGCACGGTGCCATCAGCAGAGCAGGAGGCGAGGCGCTGGGAGGTGGGACTGAAGGCCAAGCCCCACACGGCATCCCCGTGGCCCTCCAGGACGTGGCTCAGGACGCTGGGATCTGGGCCGGTAGGGAAGGAAATGGGCTGTGTTAGGACCGCAGGCTCCAAGACAGCCTAGAGCCGGACCAGGTGGCTGGGCCAAGGCAGCCCTCAGGGGCTTCATGCCCAAGCCTGGCCCCCAGCCATCCACACTGAGGACCTGCACCCCATTGGCTGCTCACAATGACTGACCACCAGAGCTTCTGGGCAACATCGGGCTCTAGAGCCCCCACAAGCTTCAGGAGCCGGGGGTTTCCCTGTTCACTGCTATCTCTGCAGGGCCCAGAAACCAGCTGTTCAGTGGTAGCCCTGGAGCCCCAAGGCCGTGATGGCCTGGTGTGTGGAGCACACACAGCCTCTGCTCACACCAGTAGCCTCCTAGGCTGTGCAGTCTTCTCTGCCTGAGCTTTGGTGGGGCCAGGCTCTGCCCGCTGTCTCCACAGCCTGCCACTGCAAAGCCCCGCCACTGCTTCCCTGCCACCAACTCAGCACAGGTGGCCCTGGCCGAGCCTGTTGACACCTGGAGTGTGGTAGCTCCCCTGGCTGGGTCTGACCCTCGACCTTGCACAGGGTGACTCACAAGAGCTCTGGACTTTGCCATGACGAGGCACAGCACCAGGCCATGTGTGTCAGTGCAGAGACATCAGGGGGTGGGGCAAGAGACACAACTGCCTTGGCATGTGCTGCTCCCTGGCCTTGGTGACCTGGCCTCTGCTTTCCCACAGCCAGGTCATGCCCATCCTCCCTACAGGGTGCAAGCACCCAGTGCCGGTGGCAGGGGTGTGAGGCGGCAGTGGGAGGGAACACAGGGGTCGTCCTCACCGTAACCATCGTAGGGATCCATGTTGAGGTCTGGAATCTTCCAGCTGTGGATGCGGGCGTCGGCACCACCACTGTAGCAGTATTCACTGTTGCTGCCCACAGCCACCGCCAGCACAGGGCCCCTGTGGGGCAAAGGTGGGTGAGAGAAGGCGAGCAACAAGCCCACACGCCCGCCCTCACAGACCTCGCTGGTATTCTTCAAGGACAGCCAAAAGGAATTCAGCGTATGGGGTCTGGCTGTGCCCCCTAGATAAGGCACCTGTCCCCCACCCCCCACCTGTCTCTGACATACCAACCCAACTGGGCCCAGAAGTGAGGAAGTATGCAAAGGGGTGTTGACATGGAGTAGGGGATCCTGTGGGTGGGAGGTGGCCAGGGTTACACACATAGCCAGAAGACAGAGTTCCTGGCAGATACAGTCAACACATACCTGTGACCCCGGAAGGCGTGGATTGGTTCCACATCCAGTGCAGCATTCCTGCGGGAGACAGAGGAACTAGGTGTCACCAAGACCCCTGGGCCGGGGCTGGGCCCGCCCTGCCAGGCTGCCACCCTCACGCCCTCACTTCTTGGCCGTGACTGCCTTCTGCAGGTTCCAGAGCTTGAGAGTGCCATCCTCGGAGGCGGTGAGCAGTGCCGACTGGCTGTGATGGAAAGCCAGGGAGCGGATGCCATCGTAGTGCGAGCGTAAGGTGAACTTGGGGTTCCATGTCTTCTTGAAGGCATCTTTGCTCTCAGACAGCTGGGGGGAGGGGAGCTGCCTCAGTGTCCCCTTGTCATCCTGGCAGTCACGCAGAGACTGACACTGGGCCTCATGACTCCTCTCTCCCACACCCAGACCGTGGCTCGGGCCTTGCAGAGTGGTTCCTGCCCTGACGGGCCCTGATACTCCCTTCCTGTGTCCACTCAGCAAGTTCCTGCAGGGTGTCAGGGTCTGGGCAGATAAAGGTAGGCCTCAACTTTGCCTCTTGCAGTTAGGGAACCGGGATATACAAGCAGATGCTAAGTGCACAGGATCATGAGCTCCGAACAGTGTTATGACCAAAGATGCACGGGGATGGGACACCAGGTAGCCAGGCTCTTCTGCGGGGGCCAATGGCTCTCCTGAGGTAGTGACAAGTGAGCAGAACTTAATTCAAACTGGAGAAGGAAGCAGCATGTGCAGCAGCCCTGAAGTAGGAGGCAGCAAGGGCAGGGGCCAGGTTCTGAGAGACAGTAGCAATGGATGCCCGCAGCCAGGAAAGTGGCAGAGAAGGCCAGAATGGTCCACAAAAGCCAAAGGCTGAGCCACATTCAGAAATCTGTGCTGCATCCTAAGAAAAATCCTTAGGGAAATGGGGAGCCACAAAAGGTTCACAGCGGGGAATCGACAGGGCTGGCTCTGGCCATCCCTGGGAGGCTTGGATTAGAAGAAGGAAAATAGCAGCAGAGACAGGATAAGACGTCATGCAACCCAGGAGCAAGGACACTGAGATCAGACACCTGACTGTGTAGCTGAGACAGGTGAGTGGGGAGATCTGGGAGTAAACCAATAGCCTCTGCAGGGTCCCTAAGGTCCTGCACAGCCCTGATGGAGCCCAGTGGCTGAGTGGGGATCCAGGTAGGACAGGCTTTTGAAACACAATGAGCTGAATGTCAGGCGGCGCCCAGTGCCCCGTCCAAGATGGGGTTCACACTGGATGAACCACTTCCTCTGGTCTCAGGGCACCCCAAGCCCCAACCTCAGGCACCATTCATGCCACAAGACTTTGCAGCCAGACGATCTGTGGCTGTGTGGCACTCCTGCCCCCTCCAGGCTCCCCAGGGCAGTGACATCTGGGGCACACAGCAGACCACAGGGCACGCACTGCAGGCTCAGACCCTGTGCTCACCTCACTTCCACACTGCGTTCCCAGCCTCACGGGGGCCACCACCACCTGAGGTTCTGTTCTGCTCAGGGAAACACACATGCACACCTATCTGAGGGTCCCCGTGGCCAGAGCCTGTCTGCTCAGCGCACAGCCCTGGCCACAGGGTTCCATCACTCCAGCCAACTAGTCCATGCCAGACTAGTCTGACCTGGGCAGAGCTCTGGCTTGAGGCCCCAAATTACCAGAAGTGGGAGGGTTGCTGAACAGGGAAACCAATACTGTAAGACCCAGGCTCAAGTCCTGTAGGCTCTGCACCTCCATGACTGTGGCCAGGTCCCTCCACTGTCCGCTCTGCACCCAGCTGTAAAACGGGATCAGCAGGAAGAGCCACCTCCTACGGCTGGGGAATGACCTCATGCAGTCCTCACACAGAAGGGACTGACCCTAAGCCTGGCACAGCATGGTTAGAGACTGCCAAGGGCTGACAAGTTGTGATGCCCGGGGGGGGGGGGCACCCCAAGAACTTACATCACAGCTGAGGTCGTTGTCGTTGGTGACGGTGAGATCTGCCAAGTCCCCCAGGCTCACCTCCCCGCCCCCGATAGTGTCCATGATGAAAACGTCTGAGGAGAAGCCAAAGGAACCTGGTAGGGGGAGGGGAGGGAGGGGCAGAAAGGGCCGGGGAGAGAGAGAGAAGCAGAGAGAGGCAGAGAGGGAGATAAGAAACGAGAAAGAGAGGGGAGAGGACGAGACCGAGAATCACAGCTGGAAAGGAAGAGACAGAGACAGACAGGGCAGGACAGACAAAAAAAGGGAGACAGAGACAGACAGACGAACTTTTGGGACAAGGGAGGCTGCAGACTGGAGGCTGGGCCTCGCCCCCAAGGACACAGAAGCCCTGGGCTTAGCTCTGCAGCCTCCTCTGCCATGGACCCAAGGGCCTGGGGTATGGGGGTTACCTTCGTGGGGCCGGGGCTGGGGTGTGCCAGGAGGTGGGCCTGTCACTTTGGGGGGCAGCCCATCCACGTCCCGAAGGTCAGCCAGAATTCCCTGGAGTTTGACTCGACGGCTCTCTGCAGGTATGAGACACAGAGCAGAGTTGCCCACCAGTTCCAGTCTTGTGGGCCCCCATCCCCACCCCAAGTGCAGCAGACCCGGCTGCACCTGTGAGGGGGGGAGAAGCTCTTCCCAGGCAGGAGACAGCGGAAACTGAGGCAGGCAGGGACTCTATGAGGTGGTGGGCATGTCCCTGCCCTGGGCTCAGGCCCGAGTCTCTCACTGAACATGACCCCGATGGCCCTCCGGGGGGGTCCACAGGACAAGGAGGAAGATGCACCCTCCCCCACCTGCCTCTCCCCGCCAGGCTCTCATCCTGTTCCCTCCTTGAGCTTGACCAGAACTGACTGCTCCCTGCAGAAGCCTGGAGGCTTTGCTTCAGGAAAAGCTGCCCTGCCTGTAGACCCGGGACTTTCCAGGGAAGGGGAAGGGGCTGGCAGCCAGCTGGGCCTCCAGGCTCCTCGGGCCTCTCCTCTCGGGAAGCATATCCATCCGGTGGGAAGACCTGGCAGGAAGCAGCTGCAGGGGCTGCCTGTGCAAGGGGGAGGATCTGGGCCCACCCCATCCTCAAGGAGGAAAGCCAGACAGCCAACTCACCCAGGTCGTGGGGGTTCCCCTCACTGGCACAGCGCCGAGGGCCTGGAGACCCTTCCCCGTCCTCTCCTGAGCCCAGGAAGTCAAACTCATTGATGGCATCCTCGGAGTCATCCTCCTCATCCTCGTCCTCCATCTCAGGCACAAGGGCCTTGGACGGGAGCTAGAGTATGGACCAAACCAGGCAGGGGCTTGGGTCCAGACACCAGCGCCACCCAGTCTTGGCCCCAGGAACAGACAAGCCAGGATTACTGCCCTCTTCTGTCCCTCAGACACTTTCTGCCTTGGATACCTCCCCCAGGGGCCTTTGGGGGGGGCCGCCCCCTCAGCCCGGCTTTGAAGACCCCTTTGGCTGTGCACTCCACTCAGAACACTGTGTGCCCTCCCGCACATGCTTCTCAGAGAGTCAGCAACCATGGGGAGCTGGTGGACTGTGTCTGCATGTGCAAGAGGGTGAGCAGAGACGCAGTTAAAGGGTAAAAGACGGCCGGGAATGTAACTCAGTGGCACAAGTGCCTGCCTGGCAAGCGCAAGGTCCTGAGTTCGATTCCCAGTACCAAAAAAAAAAAAAAAATTATGGTCTCAAAGGGTAAAAAAGCAGAGCCAGTGTCTTACCTACCAGAGCAGCAGTGATGAGAACAGTGAACATGGCCACACTGCCAGCCTCCCTGCCTGACAAGAGCAACTGACCCTGGTGGGGTGAGCTTTGTACACTGGCTTCACCGTAACCGCCAGGACTGTGGGCAACCACTGAGACTCCTGCAGGGATCAGTCTCAGCCTCTTACAAGTGCTGAGGAGAATGAGCAGAGTAAAGGACCCCCTCACCCTAAGTCACCAAGTCCCAGCCAGGCCCATGCCCACGGCAGCCTTAGCAACCTGCAGGGCAGGTCTCGGGCCAGGGGTGGAGGTAACACCAGACTTTCTGGGTCTCAAATGGCCAAGCTCAAGCCTGCAGAGGGGACCAGAGGAGTGGGACAGAGGCCCTGGTCAAGGTTTAGAGTGCAGCATGCCCAGCGAGGCCCTGACCGGGGTAGGAGCTCTGAGAGGGCAACAGTCACAGGAGCCCTGAAGACTGCACGAGCGCCCCGCCCAGCTGCACTCCTAATGCTGGCTGACACATGACACCTTGTGGGCTGTGGCAGGGCAGCCACTGCTCAGCAAAGGACTTGCTACACATCCACTCAGTTTCATCAAGTCCTCCAGCCAGAGCCAGGTGGCCTTGGCGTAGGCCCAGCCGGAGACAAGGCAGGTCTCCCGGGTCACAGTCTGGGTGCATAGCTAAGCCACAGAAGGTCTGCTGTGTGCAGAGGGCCTGGGAGACCCCTACCTATGAGCCAGCTAAAAGAGCACAAGAGACAAGTGTAGTGACAGTTGCAAAGGCCTAAGGGAGTACCAAAAAACCAGTGGTTGCTGGGTGTGGTGGCACACGCCTGTTATCGCAGCACTCAGAAGGCTGAGGCAGGAGGGTCATTGAGTTCAAGGCCAGCTTGGGCTACATAGTAAGTTGAAGACTAACCCGAACTATATATATATAGTAAGACCTTGTTTAAAAAAAAAAAAAAAAAAAAAGAACAGGGCCAGTTTCCCAGAGGAACATGAAAAAGAGTAAAAATCCCAAGGGGGCAGGAGGGACCAGGATTCTGGGCCAGGCAACAAGGTGAGAGGCCCCACTCAAACACCCTGTGCTTCTACTAATCCTCTTCTAGGGCTCAACACTGGAGAGACTGGAGAGAAGGGGTACAGAGCCACCACCAGTAAAGTCAGGTCTGGGAAAGAGGGGCCCAGGGTGAGATGGGGAAGGACAGAGGGGTCCCAGCAGAGGCCACCACTGGAAGGCTGCACTCCCCAAAAGCCCCAAGGATCCCCTCCAAGGCCTCCTTCTGGGCTTACACCTCTGCCTGCACCATGGCCATCCCTGTGCACACAAGAGTTGACAAGAACACAAACTGCTCTATGGGGTCCAGACCTGTGTGCCTCTTTGTCCCTGCTGCCTGCACAGAGCTCGCCTGGAAACACCCTGTCACTCACCAGACAGGAACCTGCTGTGTCCAAGGACAGCGTCCTTGTGATGGCAGAGACACAGGGCCCTGGCAAGCAAGGCCCAGTGGGAAATGTGGAGGCTGCACTAGGATCGACACCCTGAGGCCATACTGAGAGGGTTCCTAGGCCTGGATCCCAACACCAACAGCAGACTGGACACCTACAACCTTGAGAATCCCCAGGCTGAATGAACACTGGGCCTAGCCACACTCATTCCATTTATAAATATTTACTGAGAGGCTGGGCATATTCTTGGAGGCTGAGGCAGGAGAATCACAAGTTGGAGCCCAGTTTGGGCAAAATAAAAAACAAGGGCTAGAGATGTAGCTCAGCATAAAGGCCCTGAGTTAAATCTCTAGCACCACTAAATAAATAAATAAATAAATAAATAAATAAATAAATCTTTTAAAAATTACTTTGTGGAACACTCTTTTTAAGGCACATAAAGCTGCAAAGCCCCTGCGTGGTGGAGGAGCAGACAGAGACCAACAGTCACAGTGAGACCCTGCAACTCCACTCAGGCACGACAGCGCAGAAATGGTCCTTAGGACAGAGTGAACTGAGGAAGGGAGGTCACAGAGTGTTGGGGTGCCAGGGCAAGAGGTAGGCAGAGGTAAAGACTCGACAGCAGAGACCAGCACGTCTGCTGTCAGAGGTAAGAGCTTGGCTGCAGGAGGGGACCCAGCTGTGACAGCACTGGATGGGGCGGGGGGTGTTCACCTTCACACGCTGCTTCTTGTGCTGCACACTGTCCAGCTCATCGTCCTCATCGCTGTCCTCATCCTCGCAGTTCTGCAGGAAGGGGATCTGCTCCAATACTGAGCCACCCAGACGCTCTTTGCCATCTTTGCCTGCTGCGTTCCTGCCCACAACAGGGGTGTAGATGGGACATTAGCCCCACCAAGCAAACAAAGCCCAGATGGAGGGCACTCGGGCTTCGTTGCAGAGCCTGGACTCAGCTAAGCCCCTGAGCAAGAGAGCCTTGATCCTGACTGGATGGCTCGACTCAGCCATACCCCATAAGAACCCTCATCCAGACCAAGATCCAGGCCCCCGCCTAAGCACACCTGCCCACAGGGACCAAGTCAGGAGAAAAGCATACCCGTTACCCCAGCACTTAGGGAGGCTGAAGCAGGAGGATCACAAGTTCTGGCCTAGCCTATAATCCCAGCACTCAGGAGGCTGAGGCAGGAGGATTACGGCAAGTTTAAGGTCAGCCTGGGCTACAGTATAGTGAGTTCAAGGCCAACCTGGACTACATAGCAAAACCCTGTCTCAAAAAGAAAAAAAGAGAAAAATT